AAAAAAAAAAAAAAAAGGTCAGCCGCAAAATAAGAGAAACTGACTGTCGGGAAAGGTATTTCGGTGTGTCGTCCAGTACTTGCAAATCACACTGCCCGTCTTTCTCATACATTTCTCTCACTGTATTTTCACTGCAATTTCTCTCACACTTACTTGGAAATAAAGGATATAAAAAGGGTAAATTGAAAATGTATAGATTTTTTTATTTGCACAATAAAGTTATAGAAGGTGTAGTAATTGTATATCAATAGTCACTGCAAAGTAAAAAAAAAATATAATAATTATATTATGCAATTGTCAAGTTAATTGTTGACTTACATTGGGTGAACTGTACACCAATAATTTTAACTTAAAAACAGATTTCGCACAATATTTACTCCAAATATTTGGGAACAAACTGCCAACAGAAAGTACTTAGGCGTTGTACCTTTTTTTTTTTTTTTTTTTGATACAGAGACCTTCCGGTTTCTGGATCCACAGGAGAACCGACTAATCCGGAATCGAGCCGGATATGACCACAAGGGCGGCAAAGCTCCCCCTCAAAAGTTTTAACACTTGCATTCTCAGGACTCGAACTCGAGACCACTGGTTAAGTTGGAAGAGACCCAAGCCATCTCATCCGGAATTGAACTTTTTTTTTTTTTTAAAAGAACAAAAAATAAAAAGTGTAACAGAAAGTATTCGGCCATGCCCTTTGTGGTCTTTTACTCGTTTCTCAGACTTTCCGTCGTTCAACAATAGCACCTTTCGTGTTTGGGCTCCATTCATACACAAAATGGCTCCCTTCTCAGAAAGTTCTTCATAATTTATTATTAAATTATATATAATATATATATATACATATATATATATATTTTTTTTTAATTTAAATTTAATTCTTCAAATGCGTCTATATATAGTCGCACCACCTTCACCATTCTACTCACACAAAAACAAAACACTCACTCTTCCCATTTTAATCCCACTTTCTTTTTTCTCTCTTCTTTCCGGAGACCACGCCATGGACCAACAAACCATTGTCCCTCAGCC